CAGCGTCCCGCTGGCAGGGTATTCTATTTCGCATAAATTGTGAAATAATATCCGGTTAGAAATAAGAGTTGACAGGCCAAACAAAACATCATAAGCTCGTGATACGGGCGAAACGTGACCTTGAGAGTCTGCTTGAACAGAGGTTTTTCTTCTTTTCTCTCTCGCGCGAAGATTACTAGCACTACACAGTGCGTGTAGCATTCTGACCTTTGACTGAGTAAATCTCATTTTTGCCGCGCCAAGTCTTCCATTTAGAGGTCATGAAGTAGGTTTGTTACATGCATACTGAGTAATCATTTCCTGTGGTTTATGCTTCTGTGGGAGTTCCCGATAGGATTTGATTTCAGATGCAGTTGTAAAGTGTTTAAATTTTCTTGACCTCTGTTTGTTATGGCTAAATAAAGATTTTAGTTTCTTTGGCTGGCTTTCTCCAAAATGCCTGCCTGGTGCGAAGTCTATGCCGCTTTTGTAGTTTTCTCAGACACTGTTTACAAATATGATGTGATGTGTCATGCACAGTAAATTATAAAGAAATAATTTCCTCGTACACGTTAAATTTTCCGCGTCCCCACACAAGATTTCGATCACTCTGCTTTTCGATCGATAAAAAAAACACAGCACACAATCGCACACGTTTTGATTTGTTTTGGTTAGAAAACCCCGCTTACATAAATCATTCAAATCACCGCATACATTATGAGACCACATTCGATAACAACCAATCAGCATTAAGTCAAACAATGCGCACTGTGTGTCAGCCTATCACAGCGTGTTCCCAAGATCTTGGGAACGCAGCAGGATGCTGGAACACGATTAGTAACGGCGTTACGCAGACATCCCTTTTCAGCGTGCAACAAAGGAAATAGGAGATGTCTGCACGCAGGCAAAATAGAGACGGGGGGAAGGGGGTGTTTGAGAGGGAGGGCGTAATGAAAAATTCTGAAAATAAGCCCCTCCATGTATAAGCCCCTCCAAAAACATGTATAAGCCCCCCAATCCAGTAATGCAAAAAACCCTCCGTTAAATCGGCCCTCCAAATAAAAGCCCCCCAGGGGCTTGTACTTGGAAAATTGTTCTCAAATACAAAGTAAAACAAAGCAAAAACAGTAAATTTACTTCCAACCATAAGGCTAGCCCAATCGATTTTGAAATGCAAATTTCCCTCCGTAGAAAAGCCCCTCCGAATATAAGCCCCTCCAAAAATAAGCCCCTCAGAAAGGGCCTTTGAAAAATATAAGCCCCACAGCTTATTTTTGGAATTTTAATCTAGAAAAGATGATGTTATCAGTTCTCCATAAAGAACTACAATATGCAGAATACAATTACATGTACAAGAAGGTTGTAGGTCATGCAGCCTAGGATCAGAATCAAATCTGAACTTACAGTCGGGTTACCCCCAGCAGTCGCCTGTACCCATTTATACACCTGGATGAAGAGAGACAAAGTGGAGTAAAGTTTCTTGACTAACTAAGCAACGCTACAGGCGAGGCTTGAACTCCAGACTTCCAGATCAGGAGTTCGAGGTGTCAACCATTTNTCGCCTGTACCCATTTATACACCTGGATGAAGAGAGACAAAGTGGAGTAAAGTTTCTTGACTAACTAAGCAACGCTACAGGCGAGGCTTGAACTCCAGACTTCCAGATCAGGAGTTCGAGGTGTCAACCATTTGCCACAAATTTATTGCCTCCTCATTCCATATGGAATGAAAACAACCAAAGAAGTTGTTGGAGGGTTTAACTCACCTCAGCATATTCAGGCTTAAACAGCAGTGTGAGAGGATACACTGGCCCTAGCCAAATACATATTAGTCCCTCTTTCTGAAACTGCCGGGTGAATCCAAGGATTTGTTTCATTAACTCTGAAAAATAGATGCATGTTAAAGAAATGACAATAAATTAATTTGATTGATTGATTGTCAAGTATAATTTTGTGGATAAATTCTACACATGACCCTTATACTGCATCATATTCGCCCCTTGTTTCAAGAGCAATGCAAGGCCATTTAACCCTTTAAGTCCCAATAGTGACCAACAACAATTTTCTCCTAACAATATCCATACGTTGCCAATAGAAATGGTTATGAGAGTTAATAAAATGATCACTAAAGAAAAAATGGTTTGATCTGTTAACAGACTCTCTCTACTAATTCTTTAAAGAAATGTATGAAAATCAGTATGGAGAATTCATATGTGGACATTGAGGCTTAAAGGGTTAAAAGAAGAATCATTGACTAACAGTAGAACCCGGCGCAATAACTCAAACTCTGAAAAAAAAATTGAGACAATTACAACAATAAAGAAATCAGTTCCAGGGTCAAAAACATAAAACGTCCTCACCGGTGGGACTTGGTGATAATCAAAGTTCCCACCACGGGCTGACTTCCTTTGTTGAATCCCTGGCCTTTGCCCAGCCTCCACCCTCTTCCAGGTTGATATTGATAGGTGCATAATTCAAAGCCAATGTGCAGTTGGAAAATAAGACACCAAGGGAGGTTAGCCAAGGTGAAAAAGGGCTTTTAGATTGACTTCTCTGAATACTAGTTGATGAACACTCAATACAGAAACATCCCGGATGAACATTGATTTGGGACAACTACAGCAATGAAGAAATCAGTTTCAGGGTAAAAAAAGTGTGACTTTGAGAAGTGTCTGATCTTTGATCTGGGCAATGGGTATCACAAACTGAAACTAAGCAACTCTATTACATCTCAATATATACAAGGGGCCAGCTTACGTTTTCTCTTAAGGACCTTAAGATGAAGTTTTGGCTTGTACTTACCATCGGGCAACCGAGCAAGCTGCAGCGCGTTTCCAAATAGAAAATTCGGTTTGGGACCGGGCAGCTTTCGTAAGACAGCGACGGATTGATGCTTCAAAAGAACGAATGTTGCCGCGAGAACCGCGGCTGCTAAAAACAGCGACGAAACAGCAGCAGCGGCAAGAATCATCTTGGAAGAAGTGATGCAAAAGCTTCCTTAGTTATGACATAATCGTAAAGTTTATATTATAGCATGACTAAACAAGGTCAGAGGGACATCGGTTCACCTTGAATGTCCTTCGATCAAGTGTTTCGCAAGTGCATGTTCTTGCCCCCTTGCCGCCATGATTTACTTTTGCGCGGAGATACTGGGGCCAAGGCTGCTAATCTCAGACCAACGCTTCTCATTTCCGGTTCCGGTAGTTCGCTCTGTCGCTCAATTTTGCGACAAAAAACACAAAAAATCTACCGTTCACGCTTCGCGCTCGTGAAAAAAATTGAGCTCGGCTTGTAGGCAAGTCAAGGAAGACCGAAACAAGTACCATAGCTGTTATTGTTGGTGTTGTTTATTTTTTCTGCGCCTTCCCCCGTAGCTTGTGTTTGGCGCTCGCTTCTTCGCTTGCCTTCGCTCTCTTGAAAAAAAGCGAAAAATAACCCCTGTTATGCAGGTCATGTTTTGTCTTGAAAATTGTACACATTTTTTGTGTTTAAACAAAGTAAAACGAAAATGAAGTCCAGTTTGTCCCACTCTTTCCTCTTTATCTATGTCACGCAGCCTTGCGTGACATTTTGACAATGACGTTGTTTACTATCGGTTTCAAACCAAGATGGCTGCGTGCTTACACCAAGCGCTCGATTTTTACGATCTGACAGGAAAATCGAAGACTCTAAACAACATGGAACCACTGTACGAAACCTAAAGAGGAGTTTTAACTGCCCAAGGAGTGATAAAGGACAGAGAGATCTACTGAGCCAAGCAAATCGAAATCGTTTTAATATCGCTAGTAAAGTCCGACTTTCGTGGTTGATCAAAAACAACTGCAACGCGATGATCATCATCTTCTCAGTGGTTGCTTCAGCTCTCTTGGCTAGCATTATATTTTTGGTTATTACACTTGTCAGAAAATATCACGCTTTAGCGGACTTAAGAAAACTACCTGGTCCAAGGCCTAATATTTTCCTTGGAAACGCATGGCAGCTTCCCAGTAACCCTGAAGGTACCGGTACAGTGTATCGATCAGTTTTCAGGTTATATTTACATGTTGTAAAGCATTTAGATAATATGCTTTACATATGTAGGCTTCATCTGGAGTTTTTATTAACCAAAAATTTCAGAAACTTCCGTCTTCTCACAGTCTGGTAATCTCGGAAAAGGAATATTCGACGGATCTGGCTTCACTTCAGTTGAACTCCTAATCCTCTTTAATACGTAATGTGTAGCCTTCGAGATCATTTCGATCGTCCTCAAAATTTCCCCTTTTTAACTTTCAGTGGTCACGCAAGTAATCGACCTGCGAACGCAAACACATTTCCAGTCGTCGCTTCTCTCCAACCCAGAAAGAACCCCAATCTAATTCTGTCTTGATAATGAACGAGGTTTCCCAATTAACTTTCGTGTCACTTTTTACACTTTCTAGGCATGTTTAACCAAGTACTGCAGTGGGCAGATGAACATTGGAAAGAGGGAGTTTTCTGTCTCTGGCTAGGGCCTTTTTACCCTTATGTGCTAACATTTAAACCTGAATTTGCCGAGGTAAGAAATCTCTAGTGTTATATATAGCACGGATTTGATGAAAAAAGTACAAGGGACACCCTTTGGTCAGAGGAGTGAACGACTCACGTTCATTGAATTGTCCTTCTATTTTCAGATTCTACTGGACAGCTCAAAACACTTGACCAAATCCAACGATTATTCATACATGATTCCGTGGCTTGGGACGGGTCAGTAACGTTAGTTCTAAAACCACTCTGTGTTAGAGTCCATGGCATAAGAATCAAACTGGCTCTTCAAACAAAACACAAAGGATCAAAAGAAACCACCTTGAGGAAAAAAAAAAGGCACTTTGATTTCTTTTATATTGCCTCCTACTCATTTCATTTGTGCAGAAAATTGCCGCATAGCAACATTCTTGGAAAGAATTAATCCATTTTATAACTATTCGACGACCTTCACAAACGCATACTTTCAAAAATTCATCACTTCACGGGTCACTCCGCTCACCTTAATTTAACCCCAGTCTTCTCCTAGCCAGTTTCTGAGGCATTCAGATGTTGGACTGAGGGTGGCACGAGATAGAGAGGGCCAGGGAGGAAACGCGGAAAAAAGGAAGAAGGGGAAGGAGAAAGGAGGTTTTTTTCGCCCTCTCCCTACCCCCTCCCTTGCTGTTTTTTTCCTGCTCACTTATCTTTGCGACAATTAGATTCTAATGTTAAAGAGTTCTTGTTTGTTTTGTTTTTTTTTCATGTTTTTCCTGCCTGTGTGTGTATTGTTTTGTTCCATCATCCATCATGACATGCATTCACTGCAATGCTGGGCTGGATAACAAACAAAGGCTTATTAATTAGGTAGGTAAAATAGTTTCTACCTTGATCTCATCGGTTTCTCTTATTATCCTCAACCCTTGAACCTATGAACGAATTCATGTATGTACCCACTATGTGAAAAAGCGAATCTTGATTGAAGACCATGAAGAGAAAAAGTTTGAAACATCTAAAAGATTTTGAAAACTTTTCCATGCCCTTGTGCGCTTCAGATCGATCAAATTGGAAGCAAAGTGTTCGCTACGTGAGGCGCCGGATTGAGTTTTAATTTTGCTGTGTGGCTCTGTTCCTGAGAAATTAATCTGTTTGTATAGAACCTGTGACAAGCTCTACTGGGCAAATAAACCGATAACGATTAAAGAATGGAACTCTTGTTCATTAACCCATGCCCTAACATCTTTGCAAGAGAAGAGAGAGAGAGAGAAATTAAAACCCGCTGGTGCCTGCTCCCGTTTTTGCGCTTAGCTGGAGGCAAAGCCACTATCTTTTACTGTATTATTTAAACTATTTTTATCCTTGCCTCATCTTCTCTTGACATGTTTTTTTTTTTTTGCCAAAACAGTGAAGGCTCGAAGTGGCGGACGAGAAGAAAATTGATCACTCCAACCTTCCACTTCAGAATTTTGAACGATTTTCTTCAAGTATTCGAAGAACAAGCAGCGATTTTGGTTACTCGCCTTGAGGTAATTAAAATTTACATTTTCTCCAACCTTCCGAAGCGTTAACTGAGTTTAATATTTCAACATGGTGTATGCGAGAAAATTTACAGTATGCCTTATTTTAACAGAAACATGTCGGCAAAGGAGTTTTCAACTTGATGCCCTTCATCTCACTTTGTACGTTGGATATCATTTGCAGTAAGTATAATTGAATTCTAAAATATCGAATATAACCTCAGCTTTAATTCATTGGGATCAATATTTATATTACCTAAGCTGCATTAACAGGACGCCTGCCACCCATCCAAACCTAGCTCCTATCTTCTTCTCAAGTAGATGAAGTTGTATCAGAGGTTACAACCCTACGCGGTATTCAGGGATTATATCAACCCATTCGCTCTTGAAAATTTTGCCGCAAAAGCGTCTTGTAGGTAGTTTGAGCCGTTTTCTTGTCACTGTAGAGCTAAATCTTACCACAAATCCGTTTACAGGTCGTAGACTTCGCGGCCGGATCGAGATCCAAATATTCGCTTCCGAAATTCGAGCATGTGCAGAAAGCAAAATTTTGAGAGGGTTCAAAAATGACACGCAGTCTTAACTGTTTCTCTTCGGTTTCTGTCTTCCACTCTTTTTTCGCTTTTCTTGCCTCAATTTTTTTCTTTTTGCTAAGGGCGTTTAGTAGGCTTCATTTTGGTGGGCAATGTTTCTGGGAAAGCTTTCAGGGTCTTAGGATTAGATACGTAGGTCGGTTGTGGAACAAAATTTTCATGGGAATTTTCGGGTTAAAGGTACATGTTTTTTTTCCCTTTTTCTCTGGCCTCCGTGACCAGTGCTCAGTGCTATGGTCTTAAAGATCTCTTTACCCTGCACAAGTTAGCTGACAAACTTAGCGTCCTTGGCCGTTAAAATTGATGACGTCAAAAGCGGTAGAAGGAGCGTGGATTCACACGGGCGAATGGGTTAAGAAAGTCAGGGTCCTTAATTTCTTTTGTTAAGGAACTTAGCTGGTACATGTCATCATAGAGGTCATAATAATCTGATGAAAATTATTCCTTTTGTTTGTTTTCTTTGATTTTAAGTCACCTCTATGGATTCATCACCAAACGCTCAAGAAAATAACGATTCTCCATACGTGAATGCTGTCTTGAGGTTTGGAATAGCTATAGAGCTCATTTCGCTTTACTAATTTCAACTGAATTACTTTCGTTCTTTTTAACGTAGCTTGGAGTCTAGCAAGGTGGTCCCCAAAGAGTCGGAAATAGGCTCTTCGAGATGTGGAGTCTGCCTTATTTGTATGCCCGCATTCGGAATATCGATTTTATAGTAAAATGGTAGCAAGATTCGGAATTGAAAGTATGCTCGAGATGCAGGATCCCGAAAATAACCATCAGGATTACGGGATTGCGCGAGATAAGGTTCGGGATGTGGGTTTCCCTTGTTTGAAGCTCGGGATTCGGGATTTAAAACACAACGAGGGCAAATTTCGGGATTAAAAGTATGCACGGGATGCGGGATCCTGAAAATAACCCTCGGGATTACGGGCTTGTGCGAGAATTTGGGGCTGGATGACAGGATTGAAGAACCCGATTGAGTACCCTCCAGCGAGAATTAACAATCGAAATGTCGACAAATAAACTAGGACTAACTAAACTAATAANTCCTTTTGTTTGTTTTCTTTGATTTTAAGTCACCTCTATGGATTCATCACCAAACGCTCAAGAAAATAACGATTCTCCATACGTGAATGCTGTCTTGAGGTTTGGAATAGCTATAGAGCTCATTTCGCTTTACTAATTTCAACTGAATTACTTTCGTTCTTTTTAACGTAGCTTGGAGTCTAGCAAGGTGGTCCCCAAAGAGTCGGAAATAGGCTCTTCGAGATGTGGAGTCTGCCTTATTTGTATGCCCGCATTCGGAATATCGATTTTATAGTAAAATGGTAGCAAGATTCGGAATTGAAAGTATGCTCGAGATGCAGGATCCCGAAAATAACCATCAGGATTACGGGATTGCGCGAGATAAGGTTCGGGATGTGGGTTTCCCTTGTTTGAAGCTCGGGATTCGGGATTTAAAGCACAACGAGGGCAAATTTCGGGATTAAAAGTATGCACGGGATGCGGGATCCTGAAAATAACCCTCGGGATTACGGGCTTGTGCGAGAATTTGGGGCTGGATGACAGGATTGAAGAACCCGATTGAGTACCCTCCAGCGAGAATTAACAATCGAAATGTCGACAAATAAACTAGGACTAACTAAACTAATAATTGTGATCGTTTTTTAAATATAATGCATTCGGTCTACCTATCCATGCTAGTTCAGTAAATGAAAAGCGTCGTTATAATTAAGTAAATAATTAAACCTGTGGTGGATCTAGACCCTTAAATAAGTGAAGGCCGAACCGCTCAACCTGACCAAGGGGCAGTTTTACGAAAGTCCCGATAGTTAACTTGCCCGGAAAGATCGAGTTTTCAATAGTTTTGCAGATAAAATGATAAAACTATCAGTTAACCGAACAAAATGCACTGGCTTGGTAGCTACAACCATTTGCAAAAAATGTTGAGACACTCTGGCGAAAAAACGACCTTTCTTAATGCTCTAAATCGCTGCTAGTCACAGGTCTGTGAGGTATAATACTAACCTCCCTCCTCCCTTCCATTGAAAGTTGTTCCTCCAAGTTTTGAGCCTGTTCTTGTATTGCTAGCGTCTTTGATAAGGGGTGGACGGGGGATCACAAGCACAAGATCATGGACAGGCCATTTAAGCCAAAATACGGTACGGTGTCTCAGCCCAGGTACTTTGCAACTTGCTGTAGATCCCCAGCTGTTATTCTTTAGATTTTGACTTTTTTTTTCGGGACCGCGCTCCACCTTGAGAATGCCGGTCTCATGGTCTATAAAAATGTAAAGGACCCAAGCCCCTCGAACCGAAACTTTGTCTTAAATAGCTAAGATATTCATAACTTACAGATCATACACACACATACGAAGGACTAGTTTGCTTTTACATGCAACAGAATGTCCAAGCTGGTTCACAAGAGGCAGAGATCTCCTTGGCTTTGGAATGATGTCATTTATAGCTTTACGCCTTCGGGCAGAGAACATGATAAATACCTTAGGATTCTTCACGATTTCACAAACAAGGTACTTTTTTACTTTACTTTTTAGCAAATGGCCGGCCTGAATCATTGATGACACATTGTCAACTCGTCCCACCCCTTTATTTCCCTCAACCATGTCTTATATCTTAGTACCGTAGATGCTCGAATAAGCGCCTATTTGATTGTTTGACTCGAGAGGGCGGCGCTAATTTGAGGGGAGACCCTTATTATATAGACTTGAGTTTCCACGTCCTGTAGTCGCCAAATTCGCTGTCCTTGTCAGATGTCATGCTACATTCACTGAAGATATACGTACTAAATACTATATTAATGTAAACAATAAGCGGGCTCTAATGTAGTATTCAAAACAGAAAGGTTTTATGAATAATTATTCTTTCTGGGTGGTATTTCTTAGAGCGAAACTCCGACACAATTGCCTGATAGCAGGCTGTCATATCAGCTGACAAGTAAACCATGAAATATATTCCATTAGGTCATTGATGAGCGAATCGCTGACCGAGCTGCCAAGAACAACATTTCACAAAAAGAGGAGAAAGACGGGGAAACCAGTAAAGAAGAAGAAGTGTTTGAAAGAAAGAAGCGTCTGGCATTTCTCGATCTATTGCTGGAAGCGTATGACAAAGGGGAAATTTCACGGGAAGGAGTTAGAGAAGAAGTGGATACGTTTATGTTCGAGGTCTGAATGCTTGTGATTCTTGCGCTTTTGCTCGTTGTCTTTTGTTTTTGTCATTATAGGCGTGGATGTTTTGTATGTTGTTTCGTTTGTTTTAATATGTGACGAAATGGAAATACTCGGTAGCATTATAGAACAGAACTTAGAGCATACTTCTCACTCACCTACAACTTATGTGCATAGACTTTGTTTTACTTTTCTTTTTGAAAATCGACGATCGCGGAGCACGAGAACGAGGGCGGAGTGCTTCCCCACCGCCACCCCCTTGCGCTAGCGGTCAATAAATCCCCCCCGGATTTCATTTCCATACATATCCACTGGATAGTAATTTATCCGGTGGATAGCGCTATTCAACTTTTGAACAACTGCATGAGGCCAGATCAGAAATAAAACAAGGCCCAACTGAATTGGTCACAGAAACGTAACTATAACTTTCACTTAGAGTTGAAGATGAAGAAACTTTCAAACTTACGCACAGTGTGTCCAAAGGAGACTCATATTTACTGACTGTCCTATGGTGAGGGATAGTGTGACGTCATGTTACCATAGTAGCAAAATTTCTGGATTTTCAACAATCTTTCTTGAAAAAGACGGCATTTGCATTGTCAACAGTTCTTGGAGATCCAGAAATTTTGCTACCATGGTATCATGACGAAACGACTTCTCCTCTTTATTCAGGACTCCACCCATATTCAATCCATTAACCCTTTAAGCCCCAATATCCACAAACAAATTCTCCAAACTGATCTCTATACATTTCCTTACAGAATTAGTTAAGAGAAATTGATAAAAGATCAGAGATTTTTCTCTTTGTGATCATTTTATTAATTCTCATAACCTAATCTCTTGACAGTGTATGGATATTGTTCGGAGAAAATTGATGTTGGTCACTATTGGGACTTAAAGGGTTAAAATATTACTTTACACTGTTTACTTGAGTGAGCAACCGATCATCAGTCAAGGCTGCTAGGTTATGCACGTCTCCAGGGACATCCTTTAATCGCCTTTCTGTTCATTTAAGGGTCATGACACCACAGCTGCCGGTATTTTGTTTGCCTTATACCTTCTTGGGCGCCATCCAGAAATTCAGCAGAAAGTACAGGAAGAAGTGGATCTGTTTTTTGGTGAGGGCAAATCAAGAGTACAGTTCAAAAGTAAAGTTTGCGATTATTGTCTTATTGAATCGATGTTTTACAGACCGTCGCCCTGAAACACTGTCAGTGGATGATTTAAAGGACTTACGTTACCTGGAATGTGTTATTAAGGTACTGAAATATTTCATATTTTGTTAAGTTGTTAGAAGACTGGTTTTTCTCGATTATTTTGGATGATCAAGGTAGCTCATCCGGACGCGATTAAACCAATCAACCTATCTGTCAACTTCAGTACAATTCAGGCAGTTGTCGCGGTCGCCCAAATAGCCCGGATCATCTCCATCGCCTGAACACATCTTGAGACAACTCGGACCATCGAAGATAATCCGGACGATTATATAAAAACGGTCCGATAATATCCTCCTTGACAGGCGCTTATATTCCAAGCAAGGCGCAATGGGCGTTTCACACGAACCGCTCATCTCGCGCTTCTTGCGAAATGCGCCGTTCGCTCGTCTCGCTTGGCTAATAAAGCGCCTATCATGGAGGATAGCCTATATAGACTTAAGATATACCAATCATGCAAATCGTCCCTCGTTGCAGCTAGAGTTGTTTTGCGATCACCTGAAGGAGTTTTTAGACAATACGGGCAAAAATTTAGAGCTTCGGCGGTACTTGCCATCCACGCATTTTAACCTTATTACTTATGTTAATTTCCAGGAAGCCCAGCGGATATTTCCATCTGTTCCACATTTTGCTAGAAAGACTACTGAAGACTGTCAATTGGGTAAATAATGTTACTATGTCTTCCTTTTAACCTACAAGCTGGGGACAACTTAACTGAGAGCCTGGTTGGGGAGGGTGGATCTCCTTTATAGAAGCTCATAGCTTACAAATGTCTATGAAGCCAAGCAATAAATTCTCTAGCAGTTCTAAAAGTATCGACCCTAAGCAAGGTTATTCATGCTATGGTGAGAGGTCATGTGACGAGGAAATGACGTCATGATTTAAATTGACTACCATATATCAGATTCACCAACCAGGCGATTTATTAGGTCAGGGCACTGGCCACAAACATGCCAAAATTAACATCGCTTAAAATGATCTTACGTAAACAGCGCGCCTTTTCCTTTTCCGCGAGCACACTCCAAGTGCCTGGGGCCCCGAATTCCCGTTACCCCTAACATTAGAAAGAAAAAAGTGCCCACGCATGCGCAGGCTATAGCCTCGACAATTTAGGAAAAGAAAAAGTATAATTGAAATTCCCTTAAATTGTAGGTGAATATTTCGCTCCGAAAGGCACAACGGTTGGGGTTTCACCAATGGCTCTTCACAGAAACCCGGAAATATGGCCAGCACCGTTGCAATTCAATCCAGATCGCTTCCTTCCAGAAAGCAGCCAAGGGAGACATCCATTTGCTTTTCTTCCATTTTCAGCAGGACCGAGAAACTGCATTGGTAGGACATAAACATTTATAAAATAGACGGTTATTAAAACACGCAAAGAGGTATAATTTTGTCATGCCAAAATTATAATCCAGGTGGACAGCTAACGTCTTCCACTAGATAATCCAGCCGTCCCTTCTTGTTCCTCGCCGTTTGCATGTGAGACGTCTTTGCTTCAGCGACAGAAATTCCATGCTAATGACGTCAATTGATGTTTACATACCGTAATGAACCCTATTCAGACTGGGCTTTTTTGGTCAATCTGTGACTGGGGGGGGGCTCCTCGGACCCCCCCCCCCCCCCCCCCCCCCCCCCCTGGCCACAAACCATCGCGTGCCACAAAA